GTTTGGGAGGTCAGGTTTCCCCTCTTAACCCGCTTGTGGGTGCAGGGTGGTCCCAGCCGGGGGGGGGGGGTCCCTTTCCCTTTAAACCCGCTTGTGGGGGGGCTGCTGGTTTTTAAACCCGGGGTGGTGGGTCCCCCCTTAACCCGTTGTGCGGGGGAGCTGGTCTAGCCTGGGGGGTGGAAGGTCAGGTCCCTTTTAACCTGCTTTTAAGGTGCAGCTGGTCTAGCCCGGGTTGGTTTGGGCCCCCCTTAAACCTTTCTTATGGGGTGCCGCTGGTCTTTGCCTGGGTGGAAGGGGCAGGTCCCGTCTTAACTGGGTTGTGGGGTTTCAGCTGGTATAGCCGGGGTTTGGGATGTCAGGTCCCCTTTAACCCGCTTGTGGGGTGCAAGGGTGGTCTGCCTGGGGGTGGGAGGGCGGGCCCCTTTAACCGGGTTGTGGGGGGCGTGGTCTAGCCCGGGGTGGGGGTCCCCCTCTTAACCCGCTTGTGGGGGGCAGTGGTTCCCAGCTTGGTGTGGTAGGGCAGGTCCCCTTTAACCCGCTTGTGGGGTGCAAACTGGTTTAGCCTGGCGTGGGGAGGTCAGTTCCCCTCTTTAAACCCGCTTGTGGAGTGCAGCTGGGTCTAGCCTGGGGTGGGAGGTCGTTCCCGTCTTAAACCCCGCTTTGTGGGTGCCGTGGTTTGCCCGGAGTGGTAGGTTCCTCCTTAACCTGCTTGTGGGTGCAGGGTGGTCTAGCCTGGGGTGGTAGGTTTTTGGCCCTCTTCACCTGCTTGTGGTGGCAGCTGGTCTTTGCCTGGGGTTTGGGAGGTCCCGTTTAAAACCCGCTTTTTTGGGGGGTTTTCAGCTGGTCTAGCCCGGGGTGATGGGGCCCGTCTTAAACCCGCTTGTGGGGTGCGCTGGGGCTGCCCCGGGGGGGGTGGGTCCCGTCTTTAAACCCCCTTGTGGGGTGCAGCTGGTCTAAACCCGGGGGTGGTGGGTCCCGTCTTAAACCCCGCTTGTGGGTGCAGCTGGTCTTTGCCTTTGGGGGGTGGGTTCCCCTCTTAACCTGCTTGTGGGTTTCAGCTGGGTTTGCCCGGGGTGGGGGGTCCCGTCTTAAAATGCTTGTGGGTTTCAGCTGGGCTAGCCGGGGGGGGGGGGGTCCGTCTTAACCCGCTTTTGGGGTGCGTGGGTCAGCCTGGGGTGGTGGGGCCCGTCTTTTTAAACCCGTTTTTGGGGTGCAGCTGGTCTAGCCTTGGGGGGGGGTGGGTCCCCTCTTAAAACCCGCTTGTGTGTGCAGCTGGTTTTAGGCCCGGGTTTGGGGGGGTTTCCCCTTTTTAACCCCGTTGGGGGGTGCAGCTGGTCTTTTCCGGGGGTGGTGGGTCCCGTCTTAACCCCGCTTGGGGGGTGAGCTGGTCTATCCTGGGGGGGGTGGGTCCCTTTTTAAACCCGCTTGTGGGGGGCAGCTGGTCTATCCCCCCCCGGGGGTGGGTCCCGTCTTAAAACCCGCTTTTGGTGCAGCGGTCTAGCCTGGGGGGGGGTGGGTCCCCTTTAACCGCTTTTGGGGGAAACTGGTTAGCCCGGGGTTTGTGGGAAAGGGAAAAAGAGATTTGGTACACAAAGGGGGAAAGGGTTCAGAAAGGATGTTTTGGGATATAATGCCCAAAAAGTAGGATACGGGGAGAGGGGGGGGGGAAAGGGAAGTTAGGGTGGGATGGTTCGAGGGGGGATTCATGATGACTTTTACTTTTATGTATAACAATCAGGGCTGGTCAGAGTGAATCCCGGGACCCAGTGACAGAATGCACTGCTGCTTGATTTTATATATCCTACTGAAAATTTCTGCTGGTATCAGGGGGTTTAAGGGAGGTAGGTAGGTAAGTAGGGGTTTTGTGTGTTTTTGTGTGTGTGTTTTGGGGGGAGGAGAGGGGGAGAGAGAGGGGAGAGAGAGAGGGTGGGGAGGAAAAGGAGAGAGAGGGGAGAAAGAGAAAAGAGAAAAGAGAGGTCTGGCCCAAAAATAAATTGCATCAAGGTTGAA